TATCTGAATGGATTCACAGTGATTGCCAATCTGTCAAAATCTGAGAAACCCAAAGTAGAGCTCAAAGAGTTTCATTCTCATATGCAATGAGAACTAATTTTTAGTTGAATTCAGAACACAGTAGCTGGATGGCAGAGGGAAACAACAAACAAAAAACCCAGGGGAAAAAAAAAGAGAGATAGGGGAACAGCTAAAGGGTTTTTCTTGGCTGATACACCACCAGTGGACAAAACTCCTATTTTGTATCCACAATAGTAAAACGTTGCTCAAGGAGCGTTACTGTAAGGATCAGGAATGTTTCACAGCAGGTCATCTCTGGAGAAATGAAACAGTTCCTTTCAGCCTGAGGTAGCATATTTTATATGCAATTTGCACAGATTTCTTACATCAACAGACAGACAGCAGATGTACTTGCTTGGACATTTTATAGGGTGTGAGTTTCCTTAGGTGAGGGGTACTCACCTTAGCAGGGCATGTCACAGAACATCTTAGGAAGATGTTCTGATACCACAGCCCTTGCCTAAAACATGGCCAAGCACAGGCTCATAGCCAGCATGTTAGTTCCTCCAGTGCTTTGATGGAACACCCGTGCACAGCTCCTGCTGTGTTCAAACGTGCTCCCTCATGCACTGAACACAGAGGCCGCCTCTATCACATGAGTGGGTGTGCAGGAGGGGCATGTCCATGTCAACAACATTCAGAGACCTCTGACCCCACCAAACACCCAGTCCTGTAACAGGTGCGTACTTAGCCACGCAACATGGTAACAGCTGGGGCCTTTGTGAGAAAGCTTAGAAGGAATAGACAGATAATTTTAACTTATCAGACCACAAGCTACGTTTTCGGAAGCATGGAAGAGTAAAAAAGAACAGATAATCCTTGGGGGGAGAAGGACTACAAGGAGTAAGCAGATTAGTTAGGTGGGGTCCAATTTGCAGACTAAGACTACTGTGTCTCCCACCTTCAGAGAAAAGATGCTTCATGGATCTAACTGCTTCAAGCACCTCCATAACAGTTCAAAGCTCCTTCATAAACAGGAAAGCTTTTTGACTAGACGATCTAACTTCAGTCTCCACAGAATTTTTGAGTTTTAAGGTTCAGACATCAAAAGACCAAGCAAGCTCACTTGGGAGATTTCATGAAAGTAGGTCTGAGCGGTCCATTCAAATATACTAAACAGAAACAGTAAATACTGCATATTTCTATTTTACTGTGGCAAAACCCGAAAGAACTAATTTGGAGCTGTGATGCCCTGACCTTTATGCTCATGGCTGTGCAGCATGTCACCATACTCAGCATTACTGCACCAAATATAACCCACATAAGTGTTATGAGATTAAACACACAGGGGTTAAAGTATGACTCTGCAGAAGTCTGCTTTGGAATTTAAGAACTCCTAACATGACCTTTTTAATATTTTAAATGAAGGTACAGATGCTGTTAACATATCAAAATCAGCTAGACAACAGTGATCACACCATGGAAATGGTTTTAAGAGTAGTCAAAACCATGCTAATTCATCAAGAAGGAAACTGTGTCTGAGTTGTCCCATTAGATTCCTCCATTCTGCTAAATCATAATGCATCCTCATTTCCCCACCTCCAAATTACCACAACTGAAGTACAACACTACAGCCATTCCATCAATAACTGGGGTGGGGCAGGGAGAAGTTCCAGAGAAATTTGGTACCTGCTTGATTAACAGTGGAAGATTTTACTTTGCGCTTGATCTGCTTCTCTTTCTCGGGATTTTCTCTTGTGGAGTTATTCCTAGTGTTATGACTGTAATCAGATGGGGTAGGGTTTGATACGATATTCTGGTTCTTGGAATGTTTGGCTGAATTCTCCAGTACTAGAAGGATAAAAAGAAAAAAAATTTATGCAAGTCAAGCAGTTTATCCCACGTTCAATCTTGTTGGACTAAAATGGAACTCATGTTCTACTACAAACAAACAATTTGAATCAGTGATCCAGAAGGAAGAAAGTTTCCTAGATAAAACAACATAGCCTAACTTGTTCAGTTTTCCTATGAAGAGCCTCAAAGGCCCATCAGCTTGAAAACAGAACCAGTCTTAATTGAAAGAAGTATAACAGAGTTCCAAAAAAGCCAGCCTTATCTTTAAAAACATTCCCTGCTTAATTAAAAAAAAAAAATCCAACTTGCCTGACTTCCCTGACCCTGCAGTAGTATTAGGCTTTGTAATTAAAGGCTTTATAGTTAAAGGCTTTGCTCCTGAAGAAGTAGATGGTTGCTCTGTAACAGCCACATCTGTTATCCCCCTATTGCTTCTAGTCCGCACAAGGGAAGAGGCTTCAGCCGCTTTTCCATTCATCTGAGGCGGAGCATGTCTTAGTGCTGTTGACCGTGCAGGTGCAGAAGATGACGAAGTGGTGGAAGTTTCTGCCTTCAGCTGAGGTTTTATTAATCTTCTCTTCCTTTCAGGGCTGCAAAAGGAGGAGCAATCTGAATCCCGGATGACCACTTTTTCATTTTACAGGAATAAATAAAATTAAATGCTAGTGTCTGAGATCATGGGAGCAAAACAATCACCTCTGTATGAAGTATGTTAAAAACATGACATTTACTGTGGAAATTCATGTAAGTTGTGAGCTTCCAAAAAGTGAATCTTTACAATAAATACTGTAGTTATATGACAGAGAATGATGCCACTGCTATCCTCACGATGCTGCTTTACTGTACATTTAGCAGGTATTTGAATTTCAAGCACTTACACTAGGATAGCTCTAGGTAAAGTTTAAAACTCTTTCACGTCATAGCGACTTGCATGCCAAAGCTATCATTCTGCAATACAGGGAATAGTAAAGGAAGGATTAAGAAAAAACCACACTAGGTTCTACTGTTTGGGTATGCCAAACTTGCACAACATTTCATGAATGCTGTAAAAGAATTAATGTACCTGGATGCAACACTACTGGAAACCGAGCTGCTTCTACTTCTTTTTTTCCTTCGTTTCTTTATTGTATTTCTTTTATGAAAGCGTAGGGCAGATTTATAATCCGATAAAATCGAACTTATGTGTTCTTCAAAGAAAGCAGAAAGGCGCAAACTCATGCTGTAGATCTGAAAAAGAAAAGCCAGTAAGCAAATTTTATACTTATCCAAAGCATCTTTTCACTTATTTATCATTGAACAATAGCTAGAAAAGTGATTAATATGGCAATGTTTTAGGGAAATTTACAGTCTGTCTCAACAAAGATGCATTAACCCATGTGTAGGTTTGCTTTAACTATTTTCATGGTTTTAAAAAGTATATTACAACTGAAGATGACACATGAAATAAAAAATTAGAAAACTCACTTTTTCAACTACCTTCCCAGAATGTACCCCCTTCTAGTTTCAACAGAAATTATAAAGAGATCCTTAATGTAATTTAGGTGTATCATACCTAGGGTCAAGAAATCTTATTTTCTGCTGCATTGAGTTGCAACCTTGTATCCTATATTGGAACATCAATCTATTCCTTTTATGGATGAATTGATTCTACTAGTAAGTTGATTTCAACAGGTACAAATAAATGTACTGGAATTATGTAGGTGCACATTTTCTTTCCCCATCTCTAGCCTTGAATGATTTACAGTGACTCCCAAACTCAGTTTAGATCACAACTAATTATTTGAGCACAGTTGCTATTAATTCTGGAAACAAACAAACAAAAAAAACCACCAAAGTGACCTGCCTAGGTACTTTGAGACACAGCACCTTCTTAGAACGTGAAACACAGTATGAGAATATTGAACGGTTGCCTACCTAATGACACACCAATCTATCTGAGCACCAGACTCAACAATAAGTTTGACAGATTCTGCCTGTGTTACTGGAGATAGCATGCAAAGAAATGTGTCTAATGCGCCAAGAAAAAAAAAACTTATGAATTTAGGTTTACTGTTCAAGTAAGCATAAGTGATGTAAAGTAAGTGATATTATTAGCATGAGCATGACAAATCAGACTAAAAACATCACCATTCAAAAACTATGTGTTGCATGCGCTGAAAGCACATAGGTTCAGGAATATTAAAACTCTTAACATCAGACCCTTCCGCTTCTAGTTCTAAGTAAAATAAAAAATGATGTGGCACTTTATTACTCTACCAGTCTGTTTGGAAGAAACACGAAAAGTATGAAAATGTCAGAAGGATCTGTGACATCACACAGAGCTAAGACAACAGGTGTGATGAGGTCAAGGAGAGAAAGAAAAACCACAAAAGAATCCAGCCTTGCCCCAGATCCATCCCATTTAATGCAACCAAAAGACTGATTTTTAGGCAGCCTCAATAGTGACTGGGTTTGTCTGCTACTGACTGAAGAGAGAGTAATCTCTGATCAGTCCATCTTGCTAGTCACCTGCTAAGAAATTTGTCCCCAAGTTTTAAAACACTGAAGTGCTAATAATTAATTTTCTATTTAGAACAGCCAAACATAAAAGCTGTTAACAATTCTAGTCTGAACACCTAACACATATTAGTAGAAGAAAAGCCCCACAAAAGCCTTGAACACGTGTAAGTATGCATTTATAAATTAACTGCTCACAGACACTGCACCTACTACAAGCAGGGCATCCAAGAATAGCTTTGTAGGCTGACACTATGTAAAGACAGTCCTGTTTCCCAGAAATCTAAGGGCTTCATTACAATTGCACTGCATAGTGGTGAACACTGAATTTCAACATCCCCTACTGTCTATACCTGGATATTTCAGTTTGGGGCAATCTCCAAGGTAGAGGGGCTCTGTGTGTGTTTGTTTTGAAAATCAAGTTTCTTCCCCAAAATGACAGTTAAATTCCATTATTTTACCCATAAACACCAAAACCAGAAAATAATAATGTCTTACCCTTGATCTTTTACTTGGTGTATAGGCCTTGGAATTGCTGAAAATAAGTCTCACATCTTTACATAACTCCATCGGTGACTCATAGTTGCCAGCTTCCAGTGTTTCTCTAACAGTAGCAAAATCCATAGGAGTGTCAATAATATCCCTATAATCCTGTTAAAAAATAGCAAAGCAATTTATTACAATTCTTTTCCAAGCCCTAACATAAAATTTTCTTTAAGATGCATTTGATAAACCTGTTTAATGCAAATGTCCTATTTAAATAGGTGTGGAAGACTGCTAGAGATGTTTTGCCCCTTTACACTCATACGCAACAGAACTCCTCACAGACATAATCAACAGGACCAACATTAGAAGTTGACCGATAAATGATTTAATTCATTTTATAAACAGATATACTGAAATGAAGAACTCAGAATTTCATGTGTAAGGACTGCATTACTAACACAACGACATGAAGGTAAGAGTGAAATGGAAAGTGTGACTACAGGCTTTCTGGGTGTCTTAAAAGCTCAAACTTGGGACTAATACTAATAAAGTTCTTACATATTAGCTTTAAAATATGAAATTTGAATACTTGAATCTGATCAGAGGCTTATCACATCCCTTTTGAAACCTGAGTAGTTTCCCAAATGGAGACCTGACAATTAAGGAAAGTAATATTAAAATACTGAAAACTCCACAGGCTTAAATAGGACCCAGACCAAGCCAATGATGGGATCATTTTTCTAGGCTATGGAAAAAACAGAGCAATATCCATAGAACAAAAACCTTACATACCAAAATTATCCAAAAAGTTAACTTAATCCATCAGGGCAAATAGAACCTGCAGGAGTGCCTATGACTGTTAAACATGTTTGTGACACCAGGGAGCAGTGTGTTTCATGGCTAAGCCTAGTATAGTGCTCTACATCAGCTCATTTGAGGATCTCAAACACAGCAGGCCACTTGTAGTTGGTCATGGCATAAAGTTTAGGGTACTTCAAAAATAATAGCTGCAGAAGCATCAAGACAGACCTACCAGTGACTTGCAACAGAGAAACATTTATTTTCTCTAACTGAGAAAACAATTTCCCCAAAGACAACCACCTTATACTGATATTTTAAAGAAAAACTTATGCTAGAAAGTAAGTAAAACCTTTGCTTTGTTACTTAAAGTTGTCATATAAAGTTATGTTATACTTCAACAACCAAACATATGCATTTCATACATGACTATTTTTCACTCAGAAAAGGAAAGACATCTTAATTGCAAAAGCTGTAATTTACTTAAAAAGCTGTAATTTACTTAACAACATAGGCATCCCTGAATATAAAATATTTTGCAAGTTAAGTATCTGAGAGAGCAGAGAAGTATAATTTATTTTGAAATTACTTTAAAAAGATGATATAAATTATTATCAAGTGACAGCAAAGCACTGAAAAAAAATCTGCTACTGCAGCTGCCTGAAAAGCCAATTGAAAGAGATAGAAATATGGTCAAAGCTGGAAAAAGACAACCTACCACCTAAGAACTGGTTTATAGCCAGCCTTCTTGCTCTAAAATACTCACTGGATATTCAAGAAGATCCACTGGTTGTCGAAACGGTTCAGAGTCTTCACACTGAAAAATGAGATTCAGCAGCTCCTGGCATTGCTTCTTCCATGACTGAATGTCATATGACTGAGCTCTATTACGTAGCCGCCGCTTTGGCTGATGATCCTGAAATGACAATATTGCCTTGTGTATATTAAATAAACTAGGTGCTTTTACAAAACCTAATGGAAAAGGTTTCCCACAGGATATAAATGAATTCACAACATGCAGCAGCACAGACAGAAATGCTTTTACATTGAACAGTTCAGTAGAACAACACATCACTAAGTTCAAAACTTTCAAAAAGCTGATATTACACAATAATGAAAACATTTTCAGCTTTACATTCTGTGGTTTACAAATGCATTTTATAGTCATTTATAGGACTACAAAATATAAATTAAAAAAATCTTAAGAATATTTACCTTTCTTTTTCTAGTGGAAGTGCCTGGCACATTTGTATCTTTCTCTTCTTCCTTTGAGCAAGATAATGAGTTGCGCAAAAAGGTTAAAAAATATATATGAGTAGGTGAGTTTTTTTATACTTCATTTATAATTTGAGTCTTTATAGTCCTACTAATGTCCCTTTGAGAAACATTTCATGTGACTGTCAGTTTTGAGAACCTCTCAGAAATCTAAGCAGCATCTTAAGTCTCCAGCAATCCATTAAAGCTCTCTGCACTAAAGGAGAAGAGGAGGCTGGATTTTCACCCAGTTTCCCAGCTGACAAAAAGAAACATTTTATTGACAGACAAGTACACCCCACTCCCTTACAGTGACTGAAACCAGTACTTTGGTCTTCCACAGGACAGAGACAACGGTCCCATTTCTCCAGTGTATCGATGCCAATGTCTACGACACAACCACTTACCTCATCAGAGTCAGACAACACTTTCTTCTTCATTGCATTGTATAATGGAATTATGTCATAGCAACTCTGGTCTCTGTGTAGAAAGAAATACAAGTGATATTTATCTTCCATCTTCACCTAAGGAATCAACTGTAATTTGCCTAGGATATGGAAAATACATATGCAGCCATTCCCAAATAAGAATGTGTTTACTGCTATATGAATACTAAGATGCCTGCAGTAATAAGTCAAGCTAATTATCTGCTCAAAAGCTGTAAAATATTATCTGCACTCTGTCAAATATAGACCACTTAACAGTGTCAATGTTTTAAGATTAAAAATCATAACCCTTTAGCATAAATTTATCAGCATTAGAAAAATCTAATATTATGCCACATAAAGGGCTTTGGGGACCATCTAGTTTTTTAAGAAGCATTACAGTGAATTTATTGTACAAAAGTGCAATTTAATACATTAGCACCCACAACATAAGACACTTGAAATGCAATGTTCATTTGACTAGGACATTGATAAGGACTAACACTGTTATTGCATAAACCTGCATAATTAATTCAGCAAAACACACACTAATTTTCAAGTCCTGTTGAACATGAAAAGCTCCTATAAAAAGGAAAGCCCCAAGACGTTCTACTATGTAGAATCCAAACCACTGGGAAAAAAGTGGTTTGTGACACTTGTAACTAAACACTCAGTAACTCTTAACACCATAATACAGGCTACTGCAATCACCTGTAACAGCTGGGAGGGAAGGTGAAAAAAAGATCAAGCAACATCAACACCCTCTCCTCCCCCTTTTCAGCTTTTTAAGAGACTTGGGTAACTTAAGAAACTAAGCCTTAGATTCTCAGATGCATCACTCTTATTAGAACTATGGGCTTTGCTTTCCATGGTCTAGGCCTTCTACCTCACAGTTAGAACCATAACAATAAAAAGAAGTCTGGGCTTTATATCAATTGCTAGTTCACTTAAATTAGTATATAAATAGACTCAAGCTATAGGCCATTATTAAATAAAAATATCTGTGTTGCATTAATTTAGCTAAGCCAATTAAAAACATACACTTGGAAAAACCCTGAGCTGCTTAATTAACCAGAAAAAAAAATCATGTAGACCTATCAGATGTTAAAGAACAAAATTAGAAATAGACAAGCCCTTTAGATACATATCTTTTCCTAATGGTGTACATGTCACCAAAACTTTTCAACATCTGAAATATTTAAGTCTTTTTCATTCTCCAGACAATATCAGAAATACAGGCACTGAAGATATCAAAAATTTATGTATGGAGTCACAGTCCTAGATTTCCAAATATGTAACACAGTTCTTATGTTTTTTAAGAACACATGAAATAGAAAAGAACATGATTCAATTTAACATTGAGAAAGTAAATCACTGAAAATGTCATGACTTTTTGTTAAACTAACAAAATATCTTGCTGTTTCTATAAAGGTGGGAATAACAGTGCTCACTGTGTACAAGCAAATCAAGGCAGTGGACACAGTAAGTTCTTCTTACAAACTTTAGGCCTGTAGATGTGTCAACTGACTGAAAAATCTTAAACATTTCTCATTAAGTTTTTCTATAGACAATAATAAAAAAGAACATTTGAAAGACCAACTACTATTTCTGTCAACTACAGAGCCTCCAATTTTTACCTTGCATACATATTAAACACCATCTTCGACCACATTATCAATTGTAACCTAGACTTTGGAATTAAATTCCCATAAATATGTAAAATTAGAACTCATAACTTACCAATGAGTATATCTGTAACTCTATGAAGTACTCCATTTTTATCATGTAGGAGAAAGTCTCTTGAAATAAAATGCTATGCCCATTTATGCCAATCAGTGTATTACAGAACTTCCTCTCCTTTTGCAAACTTACGAATTCTGTGTCAAGTTAAGCTTTATTCTTTTCTGCCCCAAGAGCAGACGACAGGTTTACTCAAGCTGCAGAACCATCTTACTTTAAGATACATATCTGAAAAGGCTAAATACCTTGGGGTAAGAGATAGGAATAACAACCAACCTACTAAGCAACTCACTTTATGAAGTGTAGCAGAAGATCCGTGACAAATTTGGCAGATTTGACAATAGGACTTCCAGGTTCATTAAATGTGCGAGTGTTATGTTCAATGTACCGGACTTCCCACATTAATGAAGAAAGGCGCCTGGACATAAACAGTCGGGGAAAAAGGAAAAAAATAAAGACTTAATTTCTAGCAATGTATATGAACAGGGGGAAAAAACATTACATCCTTCTTCCCATCCACCACTGTTTTCCATGACATCAGAAAACGTGCACATTGCCATATGCTGCCCTGTGTGACCAGCAGAAGGCAACTTCCTCAGGCTTCCAGTTCTCATGCTGTAATTCTGTGCAATCTGTACAAATGGCTTTGAGAACATACAGCTGACACCTCTCAGGAAAATTCAGCTGTGACACTTCACCTTTTATTATTCCTTTAAGGTACACATAACCCATCCTGTACCACCTCTGAACTCACAGCTAAGGATTAACGAAATAGTAATAAAAGTGTTTTTAAAGTATACATTTTTCTGATGGATAGACAACAATCAGATTTCCTTATACCACTGTTATTTAATGATCTAACTACAGAATAGCCACATTATGAAAAATGATGCATAAAATAACTGAAAAAAATGATCCAAATCTAAAAAAAAAGAAAAAGATAAAAACTCTGACAGCATAAAAGTTACAAATACATACAATCTTGTATTTTCATACTAAAAGAGCCCATAATGAAAAGAAAAGCTGCACAAGGGTTTTGTAGAGTTAGGTGGGGGGTCATTTAACATGTTTAGCATAGCATAAGCATTTAGATGCAATTTATTAATGATTTTGGGTCCAGCATTTAGTTCTGTACAACGCCAGCAGTCACTAGGAAAGATTTTTTTTTTCTGTTTTGTTTTGCATCTTTTAGAAACTCACAGGCATGCTAAGACTCCTAGTTCAGGAGGGAAAAATGAATTTTAAGGTAAGCCTCATGAAAAGCTACCAAAACCACAAGGGATCTGAAAAGCCCACACAAAGTAAAACAAAAAAAATTAACATGAAAGCACAACACAGGGTGACTGCTTATAATTTAAGCAGGCCATGGCAATACTACAAACTAATATAATCCAATTTATCAATGGTGTGTTGATTACAAAAAATAACTTCTTACTCTTTTGACAACAAAACCAAAATCCAGCAAAAAGTCCTTTCCACCTGATGGCAAAGCAGTGCATTAGAGAAGCAAAAGCTGGATTCCTCATATCACACAATAAACATGGAACAATCTAAGTTCAATGTTCAATGTTCATTATAATGATAAAAAATGGGGGTGCGTTTTTGAAAATGAAAAAGTAAATTTGGTTTAGAATTCTATCTTCATTTAGCATATATAAAGCATTACAGATGGACTTTGAAATTTGTGCCAAAACAAAATGTTTATTCAAAAGAAGTATTAGAAGAACACTAATTTTCAAACCAGAAATAGCCCAAAACCTCAAAGAAACAGAAGTAATTTAAAGTACTATACTTCTACATAGATAATATTTACTGAAAAACCAACCCAAATAAAAACAAACAAACAAATTGCAACAATAAACAAAAACCCCAACAGCAAATGTGATCACAGTTTAGGAAAACATCAAAACAGTGTCACAAAGACTAGACTTATTTTCGTTGCTGTGCACCAATTCCAGTAATTCAACAGCAGTAATTTAAGAAGTCAGATTTAGTGTAGCTGCTTAAGTGATAATGCAAGATTCCTATTTTTTTAAAAGCACATTAGGACAAAAAACCCACCTGAGATATTTTTAAGGTTTCTCCTTTTTTTTAAATTATAAAGTGGAAACTTAATCCTTCAGACTAAAAGTCATTTTACTAACCCTGCAATTTGAATCTTACATAGAATGCGACTTTTGGATTAAGGAGGAATTTGAATGCTGTGTAATTTTAAAATACATTTTGGAGAAAAGACGTTCAATTCTTTTTAGAGTTTTAGAAAATGGAAATGTAAATCAAGGACAGAAGATGGAAGAAATTAAAAGCGCACACCTGCACCCATCTCCTAGAGTTTGGTGTTACAAGACAAAGAGCTACCAAAAATACAGCCGGCAGTATATCACAGAAGGAACTGAGACTTGAATCTAACCTGTAAAATCTGCTTTCCAGTCTTTGCTTAATGGTACTGAGGTCTGTGGGATATGCCACAACAGTGCAATACATTGGGTAAGCTTGAAGATCCACAGGTGCCACAAATGCAGAAGCAATATCTAGATGAAATGAAAAAAAAAAAAACAACCCACACCAAAACCCCAGTTACATACCACAGAAGTCTGATAGTAGTTTCAAGATTCACCCCCCTGCAACATATGCTATTTCCTCATGTTTGAAACATGTAGCAGTTTCCCAAAAATAACAGTAACTAGTTATTCTAACTGATTTCTGATATTCTACTTAAAAGAGTGTTTGCCGAGGTGTGTGCTGTAAGTACAGTCACTGCAGTGACTGCCCATTCTGTTGTGCACCACACCCTCCTCAGAGACAGGGCAAGCTCTTGTATAATATACAAATTTGAAAAGTAGGTTTGAATATACAAATTATACACATAGGAAGGCATGCAATTCAGTATCGTTATTTACAACACAGGCTCATTTAATTTGATTTTATATTGCCACTCTCACATCTTTAATCAAAGCAGCATGTTAAATTCTTACCATAAAAGTTACAGAGCTATTTCAAATTCCATAAGAGATGGGTAAAATCCACGCTCAAAATAAAACAGAAAGACAATATCCTGTCCCTACCTAACAGCAAGGAAGCCCAAAAATCAATCCACCATAATGCTAGAGGACTGCAGAGCAATTTAAGTCTGTGCATCTAAAGTTGTTTTTTCCCCTCCTGTGCTTAGAACCATCATGAGCGCTTAGACACATCATTCTTAACATTTTATACCTCAAGGAAAAATACTGCAATACAAACCCATAAAACCACCTTTAAAGTCTCTTTCAAAAGTCTTTAAAAACAGAAAATACATTGTTGCTAAACTGACTGCTCTTCTACTAGAAGCTGTTTACTTTTTTGAATGTTCTAGAAACTGCTGGTCTGTACCAATATGCACCAGACATACTACAGCTGGATCCCAAACTAAGCTGTATGTCATACACCATAATGCAAAACGTAAAACCATTACTCTTAGAAGGCACAGTGAAAATAACTCAAATTTCGTTTCCTCACAATTTCTTTGAATGTAAATCTCTAAATTTTTTACTACAATGTACAGATAATTCCTTTCTTTTGGAAGTAAAGGGAAGATTCCTATGCAGTATTGTCATCAAAGAAGCCATGTGGGATATGCAGGTAATTCGAATTATTTCAAGAATTGAGCTTTCTGACTTGCATCAAGTATTTAAAAAAAAATCAGTTAAAAAAAAGTATCTGTGACTACTTGTATGTTTAATTTATGACCACTGTTAGCTAAGACTGCTGACTTAAACACCATTTGTTCACCCACAAAGACATACAAAAGACTTATGATT